CGGGAGCTGCACTGTCGTATTCAGTCTGTTGCAGGGTAGTATCTTGGCTGAAGAAAATCAGCCTCCCACTCCCGGCCCTAGATGTACACAGAAAGGGAGACCTCATGGACCCCTGAGGGTCTTTGGACCCTCAGGGCATGGAGTGGCAGCTGACTTAAATCCATACATTCTAGAATATATAGAGGACCAAGTCAAGACTAGAGGAAGAGACCCCTCTGAATATCTTAGACGAAGAGTTGGAAGGGGTAACTGATGAAGTGCTCTGATGGCCTCTCTTTTCTCTTAGGGAAGTGAGAAGACACTGTTATTACTAGACACGGCTGTATCAGGTGGCAGACCTTTCTGAGGTGTGTGCATGGGAGGAAGGGTGTGCACCAGACCCCCATGACTGTAGTGAAGTGGGCTTTGGCTATCATCTTTGGTTACCCAGCATCTGAACACCCTTCCTTTTTGGGCAATCCCCTATTGAGTTTTGGCAGAGTCCTGCCTTCTTCTACAGTAAAGGAGCCAGATAGCCTCTCCCCTCACGTTCTGGAAGCTGCAGAATGGGCGCATACCCAAGGCTTGCCCAATCATATCCTCCTTCCTACTACTTCAGTCTTGAGCTTGTGGCAGAGCTCAAGGAAGAGGAATTACTCATGGCAGCAGGGATGACACTAGTGGCCTCCTGTGGTTGGCAATGTCACGGGGCCAGTGATGGTGGCAGCAGCTGCAGCATCCTCACCAAGTGGTCCCTGAGGTACAGCCTTCACTGGGTTTGCAGCAGCACGACTTTCTGGAGCCCTGTGCACAGGCCGAGCTGGAGCCCAGCCTCCCGGCCGTCTGGGAGCTACTTGTGTCCCGACGGCGTCCTTTGCTGGGTCAGAGCCCTGGAGAGGGCTGGCAGGACAGTTGCTTCCTTGTGCCCAGCGCCTCCCACCCAGCTGGTCTCCCTGTGCCCCGCCAGGCCCGTGGAGAAGCCCTGGGACGGCAGTGCTCCCCTCCCGCCGGCCTGCAGGGCCTCACCGCTGTCCACCGAGGGGCCTGAACGCCCTCTTCCTCATCTCGCCCCAGCTCCCAGCAGATTCCTCCTAGTGGAAACAACTTTTTAAAATTAAAGAATGTTTATAAAATGGGGAAAGTTACTCATGCTCTACCACAAATGTTATAATTCCTTTAGAACGATCCTGTAACATTTTAAATTCAAGAGCCGACTGCCCAGGCAGACTGCTGTCATTCCTTGGGCACGTACTGCCTTGCCCCACAGAGGCCCAGCATGGGCATGTGCTCTGGCCAACAGAAGGTGAGCAGGGGCTATTTTTGTGCTCGCAGGGTTTGGTGAGGCCTCTGTGCTTCTGCCACGAGAAAGAACATGGCCCAGGGAGTGGGGCTCCTTCAGCCAGGGCCCCAGAACATGGTACATGTCACAGAGCAGAACTAGACTGGATCCTGGCCCAGGCCAGGATGTGTAACCCAGAAGCCAACATGTAGACCTGAGAAAGAATCTGCAGTTGTAGGCCTCTGAGATTTCTGAGAGTTTCACAGCAAAAGCTGACTGATCCGTTATTTCACAGGAGCAACTAGAGTTACAGGATTTGACAGGTGCTAAACATCAGGGATAGTCACTGAGGCGCATCGCAAGTAGGTAAATCCCCTGGCATAACGGAGGTGCTATCAACTTCACAGATCAAACATCTTACTACCCGATGGTCTTGAGGCAGGAGAGAGGCCCAACAGGGGCTGGCCTACCTGGCAGGCAGGAGAGAGGCCCAACAGGGGCTGGCCTACCTGGGGGAGAAAGCTTGTTAGCACATCAGCTGTAAGCTCTCCCACACCAGACACCTTGAGGGCAAAATGAGAGGGGCTGGGTGGATGTGAGGGACCCATCAGGGTTGGGCGATTGCACCATAGCCTGAAAACTGCAGCCAGGAGGGGCCCGTGATCCACCTGCACCCCCAAAGCTACAACACTGCCTGCTCCTCCGCCCCTTGATCTCCATGAAGGGTATAAGCCCATGTCTTTGAGATACTCTTTGGGAGTGGAGAGATGGCGGGGCACTGGGCTCCTGAAAACAGAGATCGGCCTGAAGTTCTATCACCCTGAGGCTGGCAGCATCCTTCTGTGCGTTTTGCATAAGCTGCTCTGGGCAGGCACACAGAGCAGCACCATCTTCTCAGGTCACGGGGAGGTGTGCACACTTGCCACCTTCAGATGTACTCCGGTAGGTGGGGGCCACATCTGAACTACTCTCCACGGTATCCCTGCTGCCTCACACTGTGCCTGGCTCGGGGAGGGTCCTCAGTAAATATTTGTTGAAAAATTAATGAATGAATGAATCTTAGTTTATAAAATGTTACATCTGCTGCTGCTCAGTGCTGCCAGTGTGTGTGAAACAGAGTTGAGCTCAGTCCCGGCTGATTAAAACTGAGCTGTGGCGCCCTGGCGCCTTCAGGCACTCAGTACCCAGGGCTAGCTTTTGCTGCTAGCATGTGTACTGAGTATGCTATTTTAACATGTTCTAAACAGGGCAAAAATGGTGAATTTAGGATTATGTTTTTCTTTTTCTCCAAACTGAACAGGTTTGCCTCATGGCCAGGGCAAAGGGTATGAAGCCCAGTTCAGATCACTTTCTTAAGTTGCTAATAATAAAAGTGAATTCCCTGGAGTCTTCTCCACAGTAATAATATCAATAATTCTTTTTTATTTTAACCTCCTTTTGGAAGTATTTATTTATTTTTGGTCAGAAGAACATCACTCTTGTAGGACCTGGCTTTTGCCCTACTGATCCCCTGGTATATTACCAGAACCTAAAGAAACATTGTACTTATCTACCAAGCTGCTGCTGACAGAGCAAAGTCTGGAGTTTAAAAACAAAACCTGATCCTGCTGGCCACTTTTGGTTAAGGCCACTCTCTCCAGCTTTCCAATGGCAAGTAATGCTTTAAATTATGGCCAACTAATATTCTAAGAGTCTTAAAAATGGACAAATCACTTGTTGCTTATTCTGGTTGTTTCTGAAGAGATGTTACTACCTGCATGAAAAATTCAGCATGCTAAATGACTGGGTCACTTTATGACCTAGTACAACACTGGAGCATGTCACTTGTTCCCAAAAGGTGGTGGCTCCTCCAATAGGTACTATGAGAGACCTTACAATGGCACAGACCTCCATTTTCTAACACTTGAATATTAAGATTCATGGATTCTCAATCCCTATATTCACGCCTAGTACGTTGACAGGATGACATGTTTCTGTGTACATATTACTATTTTATGCAGTCTTTAAGGACATCTGCAACAGACAAATATCTTTGAATATAAACTTAAAAAATACTTTAACATAATACATTATACTGCAGAGAACTAGAATTTAACATATCACACTGCTAAAATATTCATATAAATACTATATATGCATGGATTCACTCCATTAGAAAAATTCACCTATTAGAATTTTAAAGACCAGTATCAGCAAAGCCGAAAGAAAAACTCTTTTAACAGTAGGAACACTAAAAAAAAAAACTATGCGGTACATAAACAAGTGCCAGGAAAGAGAATTCTTTACATTTGCTGTATGTCAAACGGGTACAATCTGAAATGCAATTTTAGACTAGCAGTGTATAAAAATACTTTTTAAAACAATACTTTTGATAGGTATAATAGCACTTAAACAGCTGTGTAGTTATTCCTTTTCAGGACCTACTAAAACAAGTCAACTTACTGCTCCCAGCTAGATCTGAAAGCATCAACCTGGAACGCAAGTTCTCTCACACACCTACACACCACACACAACCACATATTAAAATAACCTCCTCTATCTATGGTGCATACTGACAGGCATCAATTTCAAATGAGGCAGGAGACGCGGTGTTTGGAGCACATTTTCAGTTCCAGGTTTGGGATGGATGAGCAAAGAAGCAAAGCAAGATGGAGTTTGTGCCGTGTTGGTGGGCCACTCTGGAAGGGGAGTTTAATCTGGCATATCAATATTTAACTTGGGGGGTGGGGGAACATATTTTCCAGGGCTCTGGGTTACGACTACCCTGGCCTTCTTTCCAAACATTGGAGCAATTTTCGGAGCTTCTGGAACAGATGTTTCCTCAGCATCTTCACTATCTTCATGATGGAGATCATATGAAATGTTCCCGTATTCTCTTAAAAATGGGAAAATTTCAAGCAGAAACTGACAGAAATCCCTGCGAATCCCAAACCACCAATGGTTGCCCCCCTTTCGCCTAAACGTTGTGGCCATTAAAGTTATTAACGAAAGCCAAAGGGGGACAAAGACGGAGATGTACGAGAATGTGTTGTGGCCATCCAATCTGTGAACCAGCAGGACCTCAAAAGTGAGCAGGGGCACGACGATCATTATCCAGCTGATGGCCATGGTCACGTGTGTTCTTCGCTGTTCCGCAACCACATCCAGGGAGCGCAGAAATAGGAGGGACCAGACGATGTAATAGAGGACAACCAGGCAAAGGAACGACATGAGGATCCACAAGGGCACGAACACCACTAGCCAGGGCCAGTGAATGATCCTGTCCAGCCGCAGGGCGATGAAGATGAACTGCAGGATGTTGACGGAACACAAGATCTCCAGCTCCAGCGACCTGTCGTGCCGGAAGCCCCAGACGCAGGCGGCCACGGACACGGGTGACACGAAGAAGAGTGGCATGAAGACCAGCAGCCAGAAGTGGGTCCCCCTCTCCACCCTGTCGCAGACCAGGACTTCGAACATGAGCAGCAGCAGGTGGATGCCGACGGCGATCAGCATGGCTTTGAACTCCACGCAGGCCTCCCCCTCGGTGCGGTAGCGGGGGTTTCGGGCCCAGACGCCCGCGCCCACGGAGGCGCCCGCGATGACCAGGAGCTTCCAGAGCCATATGGGGGCGAAGACGGCCCAGTAGCTCCACTGGAGGATGCCGTCCAGACGGAGGGGCAGCAGCACCGAGAAGAGCAGCAGGCAGGCGTAGATAAGGAACTTACTGGGGTTGAAGTCCTGGAACAGGCCCCTGGGGTTCATGGCGGAGGCCGCCGGCCGCTAGCCGGGCCTGCTCCTCCGGCCGCACGGCGCCCAGTCCCCGCCGCTCCCCGCCCGGCCTGCGCCGGCTCTAGGTGGACATCTGCCGGGGCGGCCGGGAGGAGGCTCCGAGCCGGCGCGGAGGGGCCGCAGCACGTGCGCGCGCGGTCACGTGGCCCGGCCGGAAGCGCGCTGGGCAGCGGCGTGCGCGGGCCCGGCGCGGCGCGGCGTCTACGAGCGGGTTGCTGCCTCGGCCCCGCCACCGCCCAGCTGGGGCCCAGCGCCGCCCGCCTTCATGCCGCGCCCATCAGGGAGGCACCGCCTGCGTGTGGCGCCGGGAAAGGGCCTGGGGAGCCGCCGACTCCCACCGGCCAGTTGGCAGTGAGCGGGCCGCGACCTCGGGCGGACGCTTCCAGGCGGCGCCGAGAACATGGAGGCGGGAGTGAGCTCACATCCTCCGGGGCCGGCGGGGCGGGGCCCGCGGAGGGGCGGGGCCTCGACGGGGCGGGGCGGGGCCGAGGTGGGGCGGGGCCTCGACCAGGCGGGGCGGGGCGGGGCCGTCTGCGCGGGCGGTGCTCGCCGCGGCTTTCCGGGAACCTGTCAGGGGCCCCGGCTCCCGCGGTGCGGCTCCTCCGCCCGGCGCGCGGTGTCGGGAACGGCGTGCGCACGAGCAGAGGCGGGTGCGGGGCGAGTGAGAGCGAGGGGTTAGTGAGCGAGGGGGCAGGTGCCGGTAACCGTGTGAATGCCCGGGCGGATGTGCATCTGTGCGGACCGGTGTGGCCCGCGCGGGCCTGTGTGTACGTGCGCGTGCGAGTGAGGCGGCGGGTTTGTCCCTGGCCCCAGAGGCCCGCGTGTGGAGCCAGTGACTGGAGTAGGATGGGGGCCAGGACAAAGGACAGTTCACCGGCTGTTTGCGAAGTGGCTGTACGCAGTGCCTAGCCGGCAGCGGTGGTCTTATACCTGTCCCTTTGGACGGCAGGTGCTGGTGGGGGGGCGAGGGTGTCAGACCCGACAAGGCCCCTAGACAATGTCCCTGGAAGCACGTGAGGAAACTAGACCCAGAGAGGGGGTGCCCAGGTTATCTGTCAGGTTAGCAGCAGAATTGGGACTCAGATACAAGTATGCAATCCTCATTTTTATTTATTTGGCCATATGTCAGTCTTATTCTCAAAGAACAATGTTAGGAAAAGGGTACTGGACTACAGGTCAAGAAATCTGGGTTCCAGTCTAGTCCCTGCCACCCACCAGCTGAGAAACCCAGACAAATTCACCTGTTTTCTCTCTGGGCTTCAGTTTTGTGGTCTGTGAAGTTGGAGTCTGGCCTGGGTGGTCTCTGAGGGCCAGTAAGGCTGCAGCAGGTCTGTGATTTGGAGCACCAGGTGGCAGACCATTCTTTTCTCTCTCTCTCACCAGGTGGCAGACCATTCTTTTCCACACCCCTCTGCTCAGCAGAGCCCTGGTTGCTTCTCCTTCCTGCCTGTCAGCCCCCGCCGCTCACCTAGTCCAGTTCCCTGAAGTGGGTGTAGGATGCTGTCACACAGGTCACATGGGGAGAGGCCATCAGAGGAACGCTTCAGCTGTCAGAGTCTTCACGGGTATCAAGGAAGAGCTTCCCAAGAGAAGCTGGTGGCCCTCCGACCTTCCTCCCTCACAGCTCCTCCTGCCCATCTGGAGGAAAGTGGGGGCCACAGTCCAGATGCAGGAGCTGGCTTTCCCAGACATGGTGGCATCAACAGGTGTACATGAAGCGTGTATGCGGTGGACAGTCCCAGCGGTCAAAGATCTCCCCACAACTTCACCCCAGCCAAAGGCAATCGGGTGGCCCTGGGGAAGGACTTCAGCTGAGTGAGTTCACCAGTCCTCAGGGGCAACCCTGAACAGTGATTTCATAGATGCGTCTTCAGGGTCTCTTGTTTCTGAAGAGCCCCTTGGAGTCGCTGTCGGGAGAGCCTTAGCTAAGTGGGGCTCTAGCCTCTCTTCCTCAGCCCTCCTCCCATAGCCAGAGTTGCTCTACTCTGTCTTTTTTGCATATTGGTCTTTTTTGTACTATTTCTTTATATATATACCATGATTCTTCAGAATGGGATTGTACTATTTTCTTAAGCATTTGTCAGCTAAAACAAAGTTTTCTAAAATGAAAACCTCCCTAGGCCAGTCCAACTTCTTCATCTGTGAAATGGGCTAATAAAAGCACATAGGATTGGTTTGAGTGAATCAATTAGGTGAATCAATACATGGATCTTTGCACTTTGCATTTAGAGAAATGTAAGTAGTTAATATCACCACACTGAAGAAAGTAGAGCCCGTGGAGGGGAGGGGCCTGCTGGTAGCCCCAGGGATGTGGTGGCAGAGCCAAGTCCTCTGGACCCTGTTAGAACAGTCAGAAACCCTCTCTACTCTCCTCCATAGCTAGGTGACCTCCAGGCCTCTGCTGCCAGCTTTGTGGCAAAGATAGGAGTTTGGAGCGTGTTTCCTAATCTCTAGAGTTCCTTGTTTGGGACAAGGGCATGGTTCTCTCCATCCATGAAGGGGGTCTCGGGGTGTCCTTTCACAGTGCAGTGGTGTACCTCCTGTCCAGGCAGGACAAAGCTGGCCTGTTCCAAAGTGGGTCAAAAGCCTGGGCAGGGGAGGGCTTGGCTGATTCTCTGCTTGAGTCTCACGGGACAAACTCTAGGTATTGGTGCTCCCAGGGTGGTGAACCTGCTTCCAGGTTCTGTGTTGGCAGAATTCAGTTCCACGGAGTTGTTGTACTGAGATCCCTGCTTCCTTTCCTGCCGTCAGCCGGGGTTCATTCCCGGCTCCCTGTGTTTTCTGTTGAGTGAGACCCTTCACAGCCACCCATGTGGGTTGAGTGCAGTCTCTTTCCTTCTGCACCTCTGTCTGCCTTCTTCTTTTTAGGGGCTCATGTGATTACAGTGGACCCACCCAGATAACCCAGGGTAATTTCTCCATTTTAAGGTCAGCCTATTACTAACCTCAATTCCATCTGCAAAGTCCTTAGACTTCTGCTCAGTACCAGCGGCTGGCGCAGCTCAGCTCTGCCACCCTGCGCAAGGAGACAGCCTGGCTCTGCAGGGAGAGAGAGCCTTTGCTCGGTTCCCTCCACATGCAGAGCAGGGGGACAGTTCTGGGTTCCTAGGTCACCCTTGGTGACATCTGGGTGTGCTCCCACTCAGAGCAGCTGGGACCTGGCAGGAGTCAGGATTCCTCCCTGGTGCCCTGGCCACAGGAGACAGGATCCTTTGCTGAATGTCCTCTGAGGGGCTGGCCTGGGGCAGGGGCATGACCTGTATAGGAAGCCCAGGGAAGTTTTCCCTTTCAGACTGGTTTGCAGATTTGCTCACATCAGCTTCTTCACAAGGAAGCCACAGCCCACCTGGCCCTTGTGTCAGCCTCAGTGCCCGCCATCACCTCAGCGCTGTCTGTAGGTGGAACACACGCTTACCTTTACCCACGACAGCCTCCTCCCGCCCCCCTGGCTCCCCCATTGCCAGCACACTCACACACACCCAGTGAGGTAGCACCCGTGGGCATGGACTCTGGAGTCCCCAGGCCAGGTACAAATCCAAGCTCGAGTCCGTGTTCCCCATCTGTGAAATAGAGATAACCTCCCAAACTGTGAGGGCAAAACAAACAATGTGTGAGAACCTGGAATGTGCTCTGCTACCTGTCCCAGTGGTGGCTGTTGTTACCCTCTCTCAGCAGCAGATTGGATGTCCCCTCTCTTGGGTACCATAGAGTATTGTCATCCTGCTTGCTCGTCTGGCTGTGCCAGCCCACTGTGACTTTCCCGAGGGCAGGGACCCCTGTTGCATCTCTGTACCTACAGTTTCCAGCACAGGCCAGCTGCCAGGTCCCAGCTGCTCTGAGTGGGAGCACACCCAGATGTCACCAAGGGTGACCTAGGAACCCGGCACTGTCCCCCTGCTCTGCATGTGGAGGGCACTGAGCAAAGGCTGTCTCTCCCTGCAGAGCCAGGCTGTCTCCTTGTGCAGGGTGGCAGAGCTGAGCTGGGCCAGCCACTGGTACTGAGCAGAAGTCTAAGGACTTTGCAGATGGAATTAAGGTTAGTAATAGGCTGACACCGGCCTGTAAATGAATCCGGGAAAGTGCAGACGGGCAGGATGGTTGGAGCTGATGTGGCATCTTCCCCCCCCCCGGCCTGAGCAGCAGAGCACAATCAACTTCATGAGACAAATTAGCTTGTCTAAAGCCAACAGGTGTCAGGTTTGCAGGGAGGTGTCCCGGGGCTCACATGAGGACCTCCCAGAGCACAGCAGCTTCTTGTGTTTGTACTGGGCTCAGAGTTCCAAAGCACTGCATCTGTGGGTCACTGCTGGGGTCACTGTGGGTCACTGCTAAACCCACAGCTGCAGACTTTCTGCAGAGCCCTGCTGTTGGCGCAGCTCATATCTCCGCCCTGTTCATGGGCTCAGTCCGGTCAGAATGACCCCCCCTGCAGAGCCAGACTCTGGTTGGGAACCCTGGAGACTTAGGGTTGTGTTTTAGCAGCTTTTTCTAGATGCATTCATTCCTTAACTCACGTATTAAGTTAGCAATTAAATACCAAGCATCTCCCTTGTGTCCTGGGCCCTGTCCTGGACTCAGGTGCAGCAGTGAACTCTTTCCATGGCTTCTCTTATGCTGACCCCATCTCACTTCAAATGTCACCTCCTCTGGGATGCCCTCCCTTACTGCCCCACCTAATGTCATTCCCTACCTGCATCACCCTGTTTCATTTCTCTTGTTTATTATGTGGTCACTTTAGAAACAATCTGAAAAATATAGAATCATTTAAAGAAAGAAATAACATCACTGAGAACATTTACTGTGCTTTTCCTTCCGGTTGGTCTACTCTGCAAAGAGATGTCCTTATCCGTATACCATTTTATTCTGCTTTTTTGCTTAACATTAATGCTAAAACTTGCTTCTTTTCACATTTTAACATCTCTGGGTCGTGCACCGCACAGTGGATGGGGTTTTACAGGCACTGTCCCCTGTGCTGATGCTCAGCTCTTCCAGAGGGGTCGTGCTTGCTGCTGGCAGTCACCTGGGCACTGCCAATTTGAGATGACTTTAAATTTAAGTTCAGCTACAGCATTTGCTTGAAGTGTTTTCAGACCATCTTTCAGTGCAAATTCAGACTCAAACCACCCTGAAGACTGGCTTGTCCCCGTTCTCGGGGGTGGTTTTGTTCCCTCCCTGCACCCAGGCTGTGGTTGAGGCCCCGAGAGTTCCTCGCTGCCTCTGCCTGATGGGGCTGTTTATTGTTACACCAGAGGAATAGCCCTCTGGGGTCTCCACTTTACCTAGATGTCTCTCAGTAGATAACCCACCCTTGGTACTTTTCTTCTTCCTTTGCAGTGTGTGAAGTAGTGCCATGTCTTCTAATCATCTTAAAGATGATGAAATACCACAGATGGAAACATTCCTCAGACTCCTATAAACACATTAGCATCCTTTTAATGGCCAGGAAGTATTACATCAGGGTTGTCCAACACTCACTCACCTATTCCCTTATTGTGTGCTTGAGTTATTGCTGTTCTTTTCTGTGAGAAGGAGACTGGTCTTTCTTACACACAGCTTCTTTTGCATTCTGATGCCTTCTTTTTTTTTTTTTTTTTTTTTTTTTGAGTCAGAGTCTCACTCTGTTGCCCGGGCTAGAGTGCCGTGGCATCAGCCTAGCTCACAGCAACCACAAACTCCTGGGCTCGAGCAATCCTTCTGCCTCAGCCTCCTTAGTAGCTGGGACTACAGGCATGCGCCACCATGCCCAGCTAATTTTTTCTATATATATTTTAGTTAGCCAATTAATTTCTTTCTATTTTTAGTAGAGATGGGGTCTCACTCTTGCTCAGGCTGGTTTCGAACTCCTGACCTTGAGCGATCCACCCGCCTTGGCCTCCCAGAGTGCTAGGATTACAGGCGTGAGCCACCGCGCCCGGCCTCCAATGCCTTCTTTAGGGTAGGTTCTCAGAAACAGAATCGCTAGGTTGAAGGAATGAATACAGTCGTTTCCCCTTATCTGAGGTTTTACTTTTCAAGTTTTTAGTTACCTTTGGTCCAGAAATAAACAATCTGTAAGTGTTCAGTTGCACATTGTTCTGAGTAGCGTGATGAAATCTCGCTCCATCCGCCTGGGACGGCATCCTCCTTTTGTCAGTGTCTCCACACAGAGCAGGCTCTGCCCGTGTCACCTGGGTTATCTCAGAGTGCTGCCACACCGCAGTGCATGTGTTCAAGCCGCCCTTGACTGAACAGTGGCCCCAGAGCACAAGAGTGCTGTGCCTGGTTTATAAATGTGACTTTGTCGTAGGTATGTAGGTGCAGGAACAAACACAGTGAGTGTAGGTTTGGTACTTTCCAGTTTCTGGCATCTACGGGGGTGTCTTGGAACGTTGTCCCCCACATAATGAGGACCACTGTATTGTACAGCCCAGGCCCCTTGAATTTTTTTCTTTTTTTGAGTATTGCTCCGTCGCCATGAGTAGAGTTCAGTGGTGTCATCATAGCTCACTGCAACCTCAAACTCCTGGGCTCAAGTGATCCTCCTGCCTCAGCCTCCCGAGTAGCTAGGACTACAGGAGCATGACACCTTGCCTGGCTAATTTTTCTATTTTTAGTGGAGATGGGGTCTCACTCGTGCTCAGGCTGGCCCACTGATTCTTAAAGCCTTTCAGTCTTTTATTGTCTGGTGCAAAGTAGCAAAAAACAAATAAATAAATGCTCTGCAAGCCACTTAGAACCAGGCCCTGGAGTTGCCCCATGGCTCATGTGGGGCTCTTGCCTTTAAGGAGCTGTCTAGCAGTACCGGATTCCCATCTCTCATTCAACTGGCTGTGTGTCCTTGACCAAATGACTCAGCCTCTCTGAATCTATGTTTTCTCATCTGTAAAACGGAAATAATAATATCTGCTCTTCAGGGTAGAGGGGCGATAATAGAGACACAGGACCTGGAACATTTAGTAGATGCTCAATGTATATATTCTGTCTCTCCCTCTCCTCCTCTCTCTCCTTGTGCTGCTGGTGGAGAGAAGAATGCCATGCAGGGAAGTGGGGACATCTGTGTTTGAGTCAGCTGGGGTATATAGCTAAAGGAGAATTTAAATTATATAATTTAAAGAAATAACCAGGTGGCTGGCACCTAATTCACTTCTCCACCCTGGGTCTGGTTCTGCTTGATAAATTAAGGGGGCCGGGGTGGGCCAGGGGTC